CTTACAGACGTTGTGTGCCAACAGAGGGAAACCATTTGATACCAGTTCTAGCTTGCCAGGAAAAAAGCAAGAATAATCTCACGTTATTACCATAATGATTGGATTTGCGATGCGGAGCATCTGTCAGAGGCCTCTGCAGCATCAGCCTGGGACCTCATCACCTCCACTCTGAGCACAATCCAAACAGGTGAGAACACAAAGGTTTGTCTTTGATTCCCGCTGCAGAAAAAGTCTGAGTCAAATGTAGGACGAAGTTAAAAGCCCGGTGTGACCTTACAAAACCACGGCTGAGCAGAGATGCTACGCTAAAATGCCTTGAACTGTGAAACAGAACCTGAGAAAGATTCAAAATGTTTGATTTCTAATTAAGACTTTTGTATCATTTATCACTGCAGCTGGTACAATTGAACAGGTGTCATTATTTTTATCTGTTAATCCTTTTTACTCAGAGGTCATTTTCATCTGCAGGCTAATTGTAATATTAAGATTGAGATTGCTTTGATTTTTGTCTGAGGAGATATTACAAACCGTCGATGAAATCGTACAGTCAGAGAGAAAACCCTGAGACAAGCAAAAAGGAACAAAAGACAAAAAAGGAACCACGGCTGTAAAACCCGGTCCAATCTGATACGGTGGGAAAAGGAGCGAGGACTAAATGGGGAGACTCTTGTTGTGGGCTTATTGCAGAATGAAGTATCTGATCCTCGGGGAATAATAAATGCCTTTTAATCTCCAACCACTCAATGGAGCAGAGATGGGGGGGTGTGGAAGCGCAAGGCAAACCCTGCACCTCGGCCTACCGTGCCGGCCGAGACGGGCACCGCTGGAGAAAATGATGGAGGGAAGGGAAAAGAGGAGGTGATTACAAGGAGATGAGGCGAGGAAATAAAGAAAACAAAGGCAGCCGGAGTGGCCGTCCAGTGGAGGAGGCGAGTCCCCTGAACGTGGAGCTGCCGCTGCGTCTGCATTATTTAGGAGCTCTCATTAACCTGAGACTGGAACAGACAGAATCAATAGTCGCAGACTCAGAGACACAAAGAGTTTCAGGTCGTTATAACTGCTCCCTGTGCCGATGTCAGGCTCCTGGGGGGATGTAGTTGCAGGAGGGCGGGTTCAATTCATTCAGAAGAGCGATAACAAACTGCTGTGTCTGGGCCGGGGATCACCTGTCCGTCATTGATCTGGATCCTGGAACCAGACGCGTTACAGGACATCGATCCCCGTCCCTGAGTCAGTGTGATATGGTACGTCCTCTGATAATTGATGTCCTACAGTGTTCCTTGTTTACTCGGGAAGGTCACCGCAGAGGTACAGTGGGGAGGATTTGGCAACATCTAGTGGTGAAGTTGCACGATCTGGGAGAACATTTCTGACGTCACAGTCCATTGAAGACATGATGATCAGATACTATGTATTTAATAGATAATTAATAGCTACTGTAGGTTTGAATGTCTGTAGACTTTATAGTTAACACTGTTTGTTTGTTTATAGTTTAATTATTGATCTCTAAAGTGGTTGTGCCTCAGACCTCTTGCCCTGAAACTTTCTTTGGTAGGAGGGTCACGAGGTTCACGTGCAGTCAAAATTGACTATAACAAAAAGAACTTTAGATGTAAACAGAAATGATGATGAATCACACCAGGACAGAGTAAACTTCAGAAAATGTGTTTTTAAAGAAAAGATTTAAATCCCTGGGGTCTCATTATCAATCCTGTCAAACACAAGAAGAGTGTGTTAACCTAAACATGAAATAATAAAATAATAGATACAAGTATTGTTCTATAGGAGCCCTTTGAGTAATAATAGATGAATGGGAGAGGAAAATTAGTTTGAAGTGAGAAGATATAACATGAAAATCACATCAATAGAGAGATAAAAAAAAACAAGAAGAGATGAAAATGTGTCAAATGTAAAGCCACACAATTAAGTAATGATTGGTTATAACCACGAGTCGATTTTCAAATCAGGCCACTTTCAAATGTGGTCCATAAGTCAGAGATCTCAACACTAAAAGGTAAATAATGGACGAATCAGGGATCAGGAAAGTTTCACAAGGTCTGCACTCAGCAGGATGAACATTGGACAGCGGTCTGTGACCGACCCAGCTACAGAGTGAGGGCAAAGCAATTAGACAAATATACACAAGCTGACCACTTCACTTCAGCACCATAGACAGTTCCCAACAGAGCCTGGTCTCATTTAACCCACATATGGATCAACAACCATGAACAAACTGTGGCCAAAAATCATGAGCTGATACAAGAAGTCTTACAAATCTGCAGCGTGAACGTTCCATAGCGTCCGCAGCTTCTACCATGGAGTTAGAACGAACAAAACGGCCTCATGTATGGATCACATCAAACGTTCTTTTCATCAGTTCCCAGAGTTCCCTTTTGTTTATAAAGCCTTACTGTAACAAAGCAAACTAAAGGAGTTTTAGTATCAGCAGACTCCAGGCTCGTCCCTCAAACTTTCTGCTGTTCCTAATGCCGTGCACAGCTTACAGAAGAGTCCCACAGAGGCCCTGATTATGTCTTATATGATGAGTTTAGAGGTGCTGGGGTTTAAGCAGCTGCTTTCTTCAACTCATTGGACTTTGAACAGTCTCTGAGGTGCAGGTTAAACCTCCTTTTGCAAAACCTGTCAAGTTAATAGCCCCTGCCTTATGCTGATAACTGCCAAAGTGTCTACTCTTCGGGCTCAAGTCTCTGGCATCATGACACACACACACACACACACAATGTTGTGTTTTCTTTTCTCTTTGAACTGACATCCAGTCGGATTGTGTTTGAAACACACCTCCAATCTGAAAACTCCTCTGTTGTTTTCTTAAGTAAACTTCTACAAAGGCGGAGGAATCCATTTGTCCTTAAATGTAACACAGGTTTCTGCTCTTTATGTTGTTTTTGTGGGACTATACGTGCTCACAGACGAAAACACCGGGAGCCGGGGAGTCTGTCAAACTCCATCAGTGCTGATGAAATAGAAGTGGACGGGCACAACTCCGGGTGAAACTAAAGGACACAGTGGAAGGCACAGGGAAATGGAGGACGTGTGACAGGAATACCAGAGCCACATGTCAGGGCCAATGACGGTCGGTTCAGGAGCTTGGAGAGGAACCAGCTACAGCAGCCTGCAGCAGAGCTGACGGAATTATTAAGAGGGAACTTCCCTGTGTTCCAGGGACGTTCCATAAATAAAGCATAAACGTCTAAACTGTTATGAAAAATGATGGGTTCTCGTTTGACAGTTCAAAGCTTCATTTCTCTGTTCACCATCACAGCAGTGACATAAAGTGATGAAACTGCTGCAAAAGACACCAGCAGGTCTGTGCAACTCAAAAACAGAGTAAAATGTGCACATTGTACATTTACATCTTAATTACAGTAGTTTTAGCTTGTAGCGCGATGCTCATCGTATCATCAGGAGTTATGAGCTACCACAATTATTTCAAATTAAACTTAATTGAAGAACAGATTCATATCTCCTGTGTCTTTTTTTTTTTTTTTTTTTGGGTCGTCTCGCATCATGTTTCCCAGGAGTTTACAAATAATGTCTATTGACTTGGGTCGCGAAGGTTTGTGACTTTTAAAATATGGCTTCCATGAAAAAAAGTTTGGGAAACACTGCTGTATATACATACAGTTAAGCAAAGAAAATGCATATACAGCAGTGATGATACAAGGACACATCAGTAGTTCTAACCATAGAGAGAATGTTTTGAAGTTTCATCACACAGTCATTGGATCTAAACCAGCTGTAGATTTTAATGACTTCCATCCATATATAATTATAATCCATGTTGAGCCTGTCCTGTTTTTCTTTTCTGAGGACGATGGTTTCATGACACCAGTGGTCGTGGCTGAGCCTGTGATGGAGATCAAACGTGAGCGAGCTTTTGGCATCTGAGTCCTGCAGATACTGTGAGAAATTGCAAATATATCCTTTTTTATCCACCTGCAGCGATCACATGACTTATTCATCACACAGGACGTGAGATGAATGTGTTATCATTTCATTTTGGTCCGTCCATTTATTTTGCTGCATGTGGAAATGAATACACTTTCAGATATAAACCCGTGGCTAATTTGTGTTCATGGATTTTTCCGTAATTCAAATAGAGTTTGAACTGTTGTTAGTGGGACTTTGCAGATGATGTGTTAACCTTCCTCTGCCTGAAGACGCTCCAACAAATTGTAAATTCTGGTTTTAATGAGCTTGCAGCTCCTCTGCTGGTCCTGTCACACAGTCACCACGTACCAGTGCTGATTGGTTTCAAATGAGGAGAGCCGGGCTCTTCTGGTTGCATGGAAACCGGTCTTTAGAAGAAGAATGAAGGTTTCCAGAAAACAACGTCAGGCTGGAAGAGCCACATGCAAAATGACCCTGTACTGTAATTACTGACTCTTTCCAGAAGGGAGCGCACTTTTCATAGGTCACAACTTTGCAGAGGTCACAGAAATGACAACTCTTTTCAGTTGAGTTCTTCCTGAGCAGGAAGACGTTGAAGAAAAATGGAACAGGAACACAACACATATACACACGCACACACACATGTAAATATACATATAAATATATATAAATATATATGGTGTGTTTCATATATATGTATGTAATATGAACATACGCAATTATACAGACAAAAACAGATATATACATATCTATATATATGTACATGAATATGTTTGTGTGTGTATATGTATGTGTGTACATATATAAATATATATTTATATATATAGATATATATTTAGAAATGTTTAGTTTTACCCAGTTCTTACACAGTACCAACAGACTGTCCTTAAACCACAGTAATGATTACGAGTTCTTTGAAAATTGTTTTAGTTTTACCCAATACTTCAGATAGTTTGTTAATCATCCTCTGAAAGACGAGAACGTCTGGGTTGAAGGGCAGGGCAGGTACAAGAGGGGCAGTTCCTCTTACTCTTAAAGGGGTTTCCCAAAATTTCTAAAAGGATCTGCTCTGTGTCTCTGCTGCTGCTGCTGCTGTTGACCTGCTCTGGGAAACTGTCTGTAGAAACAGTAACATTCAGTAGGAGTTGACTGGAGGAGAGAAGCACATGTGAGAGGTGGGTGCTGTGGATGTATTTTATAGATTTGTATAAGGCAGAGTCTGATTGATTTACATAATGTAAATGTATGCTGCAGGCACAGTTTGGATTATTATTATTATTATTATTATTTGGAGTGTGTAAAAGAACACAATGATTTCTTTAATGTTTTATTGTTAATATTATGTATTAATAATTATTAATAATAATGATGATATTACGAGAATGATTAGAAGCTATTTTTGTCTGTGTTTTAAATAATAATAATAATAAACCCTTCTCGTGATTCTTCCACCCAGTTTCTACTAAGACCGTGCGTAAAAGTTGGATTTCTGTGCCGTCAGCCACAGATGTCCTGTCAGCTGGAAGGAGGCCTGCAGCAGGAGTCGGAGGAAAACTGTGCAGAAGTGAATTCTGAGGAAACTGTTGACGTGACCAGCCCTGACGGATGCACGGAGGACAGAGGGCAGGAGAGCGCAGCCCGGCCGTCGTCGCTGCGCCAACAGCACAGAGCGCACAGAATGACCCGCAGCCCCAAATGTGCGCGCTGTCGGAACCACGGCGTAGTTTCGTGTCTCAAAGGCCACAAACGCTTCTGCCGCTGGAGGGACTGCCGCTGCGCCTGCTGCCTGCTGGTGGTGGAGCGGCAGCGCGTCATGGCCGCGCAGGTGGCGCTGAGGCGGCAGCAGGCGGCGGAGGCGAGGAGAGCGCACGGCCAGGTCAGTGGTGGAGGGTCAGGGGAGGAAGTTGTTAAAAAACAGGAAAAGCGGAAAATATGGCTATATTGTTACTATGTGTGTGTGTGTGTGTGTGTGTTATTGTTCCTATATGTGTGTGTGTGTGTGTGTGTAAATATATACATGCATATATAAATATATAAACATATATACGTGTATGATACTAATAATTACGATTATTTAGAGGATTTTTGTTTCGATTATTCAATGAACAGTTTAATTTATATAATTCAAAGACTAAAGATATTCAAAAGACATTGTACTGTTATTGAAAAACCAACAGCAGAATCAAACCATGTAAGAGGTTAAAACTAAAAATAACTTTTTTAAAAAGAAAAAAGCAAGACTAGTCGTAAAAAAAATCATAAAATTCCTTGACTGAGTAGTAAGTTAGTGCTCATCTTGACTAGTAAGCAAGAGTAGTAAGTTAGTGCTCATCTTGACTTCTTACCTCTGAATAAATAAAAATATGAAATTCAAATATTGACGTGAACAAAGCCTGCTGAGTTTTGAGTGATGTGTTTAAAAAAGAGTTACAGAAAACAAAACTAAATGTTGCCAATATTTTTATATCACCAAAAACAAAGAATAAATTGAACTTGGACCAAAGAGTTGTTTTTCATATTTACTGCGCTTTTGTGAAGTAGAGCAGAGTTAATTTTCTTGATATTACAAGATTATTACTATTATTATTCAACACACAGGCAAGAAAATCTAAGTGTATTTCAATGTCTAAACTCTCCTAAGTAAGTTTGAAAAAACTAAACTAAAATTAGATTAAACCTGTTAGGAAGGAACTGTTATCATACCCAGTGATCTATCCTGTTGTTTTTTAAATATTTTTGTAAGAAAAACTGGCCAATAAGTCAGAATGAGTTTGCTACAAATACAAACTTAAACACAACAGTCACCAAAAACACAACACAGTGGGACAACACAGCGTCTCAGACAAATGTAAACAGAGCTATTACATTGATTTGTTGGTTTTCCAAAAAAAAAAAAAAATTCCACAAAAGTTGACAATTTCAAACCACAATGATGGGAGAAAGTAGCACAAAACAATAAGACATAACTGCTCTATAAAGAAGAAGAAAAACAATAAGAAATCGAGTGATGCCTCACTGAAGCTGTCTATTTACTCGAAGGGGAAAAAAAAGTGGTTTGAAAACAGTTGAGGAAAAAAGTGTAGAATAATAGGAAGGTTGAAACGAAGAAAAAAAAAGATAAATATGGGTTGTCAGGTTTTTTTTTTCATTCTACACAAAGACTCTGTAAAAGCTTTGATTTCCATACAGAAAACACACAGTTGACCTTTAACCTCGGCCTCAACCGAGGGACTGCAGCAGCAGCCGGTCTGAAGATCATAGAAGTGCACGGATGGAGATCAGAGGGCGGAGAGAATAAACGAGGGAAAACACGGCTTTGGAATGATAAAATAACTGACGCACAGATGCTAGGCACTTCTTGTCAGTTAGCAGTTATCGTCAGTGTCGTACAAGACAGGGGTGAGGGGGTGAGAGGGGCAGTACTGCAGTAAATCAACTGAGACCGGTGCAGTTTATATATCAGTATGTCGGAGACCTCTACTTGTCTCTTCAATTATGCATTAAATATCTTTGCTCGCCCTCAGGTGACGCTCTGTGATTATGCCCAGATGTCTAACTCCTGTTCTGTGTTTCTCCAAAGGGTAAGAGGGGGGTCAGGTGTGCAGCGCCGTTACGGAGGACGGCGTACCAGCGTTACAGCCGAACGGCCGAGCCCAGCATCCTGGCTAAGAACATCCTGCAGGGTGAGGTTTAATTAATGTCTTCTTTCTCATTAGCTTAACAAGTCTGTTACTGTGTTTAAAAAAAAGTTGGTTTTTTTATTCCCAGCAGACTTGATGTGAGTCATAAGAAGCTTCTTTTTTTTCATAATTTGAAGACAAAATATTTTAAAGTAAAATAGAGGACTTATAGATCTTTAGCTCATAGATCATGCTTTATACTGAGTAACTGTCATAGGGTTTTCCGGTGACAAACTGTGTTTCTGTATAAAACACCTCACTGTTATTATGTTTACAGCCTGATCCTCTAGTCTTTTGCCCTTTACAGTTTGTACGGAGGATGGATTTTAATCACTGACTCATCTCTGAACTGTTTTAAATCAGAATCATACAAAAAAACTTTTGTTTCAAGCCCTGGAAATGAAAATTGCAATAACTAAAAATCAAAATTTTTACCACTGGGGGCAGTCCTGGGCTTGCAATCAAAGGGTTGGTGGTTCCAATTCCATATTGGCGAATGATTCTTCTTTTACAGTTTGTCATTTACCAACAACATTACACTCGTGTGTAATATGTTCAGCTAAAGTAGTCATTTTGACTGCAGTATTTTACAACAAGCAGCTTTTACTGAAACACAAATGTATTAATATCCTGCTGGCTTGAAATCAATTTCCACTCAAAGCTGTGCTCAGCATTAAATAAAAACCAATTATAGCACACACACACACACACAGACACACAGAGAGTGTAATTAAGATTGTACACAACTCTGCAGTTCAACACAAACACAGCTGCTAATTGCTCTTATAACTCAGACACAAATGTTCAAGAGGAGCATGTGACTGTGCTCTCTGTGTTCAGGGCTGAAAACGGCGATGCCTCCGGAGGACGACGCCTCCTGCTGGGCTAAGCAGGCACAACGCGATCAAACGCACATGACGTGCGCGTCCATTAGCACCAGGATGAGGAAGAGACGAGCCTTCGCAGACAAGGAGCTGGAGAATGTGATGCTGGAGCGGGAGCTGAGGCAGAGGGAGCTGCAGGGTGACTTCTTCTTCTCCTCCTCCTCAGTCATCGTCCCGGTGCCTCACCCTCCACCCCTGCCCGTCTCCCCCAGCCTCCACTGCTGCAGCTTCAACAAGGACCCTGCTGCTTCAGAAGCACCCAGCTATGTGTACAAGTACAGGCCTCCTCTCTGTGACTGTGACATGCAGTTCTGTCACTTCCTGCAGCTGAAGAGCAGAATCTCTGCAGAGTCTGGCTACGACTTTTTGTGCCGAAGCTCAGATAATGGCAGAGAGGGTGAGGCGGCGCTGAACAGATTGAAAACATGGGAGGAGAAAGACCAATCAGAAGTGATGGCTCCTCCAACACACCTCCAATCAGTCAAGCTACCCTCAGAACCTGCGGAGATAATTGCCTCAAATGGCTCTTTAGACATCACTCACTCTGTTTTTAGATCAGACCAGAGTATCACGGACGTCAGAGAAACCAGCAGCACTTTCGATTCCAGAACTCTGACAGCCACAGGCTGGAGCACAGACACTCCTGCCTCACAGATAAGTCCTCACACCGACTCTGTCAAGAGCCCTCATGGCAGTTCAGTCAGGACTCCCACTGTGAGGCCATTACCCTTCTCTGTAGAGGCTCTGCTCCGGGCCTGACAGGCAAATGAGAAGTGGCGTGAAGCACTTTGTTTATGTGTGGACCAAGCAGTGACATGGAGGGTGGAATATAAAAAAATACATGGTTTCATAACATGATCTGAGAAACACCTTCATTGTAAATGACTAGTTGCTATAAAGTGCCTTGCAGCAGATGTATTTATACATGTCTTTTTAGCTTCATAAAAATGTATTTTGCTACAGTTGAGTGACCATTAATGATATAATATACATACATAGACATGGCTGCTGTACGCCTGTTCTGTGGGTACAGTGTAACCTTGTTATAATCAATAAATATTTATTGACCTAGCAAAAGCTGGATTGTGCAGTAATCAGCACCAGAAGAGTATAGTGGCGTTTTGATCAAAGTACATTTTGCCCTTTGTTTGCATTTTTGGGACAATGGGAAACAGTAATATATTTTGGGTGTGGGGTATGAGTCCAGATATGCAAATAAAAAATGTAAATATATAAAAAAAATGGCCAAATATGTCAATTCAATGGTAAAGCCAAAAATAAATTCCAATCCATTTAGCAGAAACACTATACAGTAGAGGCTACACAAAAAACAAGCTGCTGAAAACGTCAAGATTTTGCGCTCGGATGATGTTCTCATGACGGAACCTGTCATCGAGCTTTTTAGAACTTGACATGAAGCCGGTGGTTTTGCAGAAAACAGTTAAAAAAACTGTTTCTTGAAGTTCACAGCCGGGGCAGAGGGTGAAATCATCAACAATATTTACCATCCATCGACTCTTTTTTTTGCCCCGTTTGATGTAGAGCAGATATTCATTATTCACTGCTATTCCATCAGCTCATTCCTTTCCAGATGTCGTCAGTTTTGGCGGAGCGTAGTTTATCATTACGGCTGTAAAAACATAAACTCCACTGATCGCCAGCGTTCTGTTTAAAATTCCATACACTATGATTTTATCAAAAATAACAGGGAATAGGAAATAGTCCTCAGCGGGTGAATGGGAGTGTGCCAGCTGTTTCCCAGGCAACATTGTTCTTTGTGGATGCTGGTGAAGTTGTTTGAACACGCATGTGATCCGTATCAACTTTCTACCTTCTCTCCCTCCACGTCCTCCTCTTTGTTGTGCCCTGTAATCTCAGAGAGATGGAGGTCTGATACTTTTGACAACACTGGACCATGTGGCGTCAACCTGGTTGGCGATAGCTAAGTCTCCTCAGTGTGTGTGTTCGTGTGTATCTGAATACAGATCTGAATGCCTTTGTTTTCACAAAAACGATAAAAAAAACGGAGTGGGGGTTATAAAGAAAGATGAGGAAATGAGTGTGATAGAGAAATTATACTGTGTGCTTTGTTGTACATCATCTATGGTGTTTGCAACAATGGTAAAATCCCAGCAAATTGCCATTTCCACCATGATAATGAAGAAGATAATCATCAGTCCCAAAGGAACGATAATGACTTCTGTGAAGAATAACACAGAAGATGTAAATCAATTTCCCTGCAGCAAAGCTTAAAGGGAAAAGCTCATTTATCCAGCTCCACCATGATCATTCTTGGGGGGCTGCTCCTAAGGCACAGTGTGTGGCAGCCTAATAGATAGTAAAGCTACTCTGGACTGCCACTCACGTTCCTCCGCCGCCTTGTTAGGGAGGGCTCCACAGACAGACAGATTAGCTCTTAGCTCCGTGGAAACTCAGATCCACGACTGTCGGTTTATTACCAAGATCCTTTGTGGGAAGGATGTGGGAGAAGGATGGAAGAAGAGAAAGGCAACCTGTGGAGGGGCTTGTTGGACTCAGGCCAGTATGCTGATAAAGCACTTTCAACAGGCTGAAACATGTTTTTGGATTCGTAACACCTTCTCCTTCTCCTGCTGCTCTCTCTCTCTTGTAACACCAACTCACCCTCTCTCCTTCTCCTGCTGCTCTCTCTCTCTCTCTCTCTCTCTTGTCGCCTAACTCTCACTCTGACGAGTCTCATTTTCTCTTCAGACAGATTGATTTCTGTTTGCTCAAGGTTAGAAAAGATTTGCTTTGGATTTCACCAGTGAACCTGATGTGAAGTGCAAAAGTTTTCGATGGTGGAAGAGCCAAGAAAACGATAGAGATTAACACTGAGCAGCCATTATGGTCTCAAACCTAATGTTTCTCCAAGATGAGCAGAGACGATGAGGAGAGATGTCCCTACTGCCACTCCTGGGGTGTGAATGAAAAAAAAAACACACACACAATATTCTAGGGCCTGTCTGTGCGTATTATGAATATATAATAATACTGGGGCTGTAGAAAAATAATGCATTAACTCACAATATTTAATTTGGCATAGATAGATAATAACAGATTGATGCAGCCTGTAAATCCAACAATTCCACAGTTTATTGTCCAGACAATACATATTAATGTTGTCTCCAAACCAGCCCCAGCTTAGAATTCCGTCTCATCACCCAACATGTGTTTGTAGGAAAAACAACACAGTAAGTTTGGACTGAGGTCAATGGACTCTTCTCCCTATTTTATTTTGGTGTAAAGTCATGTTGTTTCTGACATACAGTAACTTTTACCATTCACTCCAAGCCTCCCTTGACTCGGCCACATACTATTTACCATTTACACTCACAAATTGTTACCAAAATGTTACCAAATCAGCCATCTCTGTGTTTTTGGACTGTGTGAGAACTGAAGGAAACCCAGGCACTTTTGGAGAACATGTGATTTCTATACAAAAACCACAACAGCTTGGACTTGGACAGGTGATCTCTTCACTGTAAGGCAAGTGCAGTAACCGAGCCCCTCCACTGTGTGGCCCCTTTTTGTAACAAAATCACAAGAAAATGAGAAATTCTCATTTCATATCTGAGCGCTGCCCGTCAGAGCCACAGCTGAAGACCGACGCCAGGAGCCTCATCACAGACAGTTAGCGTCAGCCTTCAGTGAACGGCCTTTGATCGTCCTGCCTGATCTCTTCACTGCCCCCTCAGACTGGACTAAAGACGTATGACTCGTGACACATGGTTGGCACATCTGAGGGAGTTGTGATCTGAATTTAGGAGTGTTGTAATGGGCTGTGTGGACAACTATGTAGGTCAGAGATGCACAAATCTATATATATTTATATGTTTTATCTTAGTATGAAGATCGTTTTACTTCTCAATTGTCAATTTTTTTCTCCAGATTGCCATTCAGGTGCATTCACTATCAACTAATAAACATTAAAATTTAATTTTTGGTAATTAATTATAGCGAATTATAATATTTTCTTTTCACTCTACTGCACTTCTATACAATTCCGAGCCATTCAGGCATTATAAAAAAAAATAGTTTTAGTATAAGCCATTTTAAAAGTGGCTTTATTTCAATAGAAAAACAGTAATTATATCCATGATATAGCTACTGTACATTATATGATTTACATAAATTATAATCGGAGTGTGTCTTATTTATCTAAACTAAATGTAACATATATTGTGTTTAATATTTAAATGTTTATAACTATTAGAAACAAATTCCCTGACTCAATACCAGTCAAAAATATACCAAAATTAAATTTAAATTAAATAAATGTATTAAATTAAAATTAAATTTACTCACAATTTACTGAGTATTTAGTCATTTAATCTGCCTGCCACTGTCACACTGACAAACAAAGACAAACAGTGTCTCTATAATTCCTACAGATGTTCAGTACGAACTAACGTGTGAGTGTTATGTTACAGAACTCCAGAAACATTAATGTTCGGGTTTTGTCGCCACGGCCAGTGTGGTTTTCTTTTTCGTCCGTATCTTGATGGATGTGATCATTACACTTCAGTCCGTATTAGCTCTATTTATTTCTCAGAGCGTCTGCAACATTAGGTATCAGTGTTCAGAGCACAGTATTTGATGTCTCTGCCAAGTCACCACACACTTCACATTCTCTCCTGTCCCGCCCCGGCCTGCATGCTGGTCCGATCAGAGATACTGGTGTTGGTTTTCACTACAGCTGCTCAGTGCGTGTGTGTGATTAAAAGCAGTGCCTTTAAACTTTTTAAATGCAGAACCATGTTTTTAGGATGAAAAACACATGTAAAGTACATTTTGCGCAGGTTTTTTAACAGAACCATTTTGGGTCAGTAAGTACATGTTTTTTAACAGAACCATTTTGGGTCAGAATGTCAAAAACTTAAAAAAAAATTTGTAGACAAAGCCAAGTTCAGAAACTGTACTGTACTAAAATCCTTGCTTAACAGCCACTAGAGGGCTAACGTCATCGAAGTGTGCGCCGCACTCCTTAGACTTATTCTGCTTGCTTAACAATTCCACCTAACGACAGTCGCATTTCCATTAGAACAAATTAATATAACATAACAATGTACAGTCTGGACTGCTAGGTGGCGACAGCGCTGAGCTCTACATTCTTTGTCTTAAATATTGACTCATCCAACTAAGTAAATCTTTGCAGCTGTGATGATGTGTAAATCAATCGCCATTCACTGCTGGTTAAACAAAAGAAAAAGAACACAACTCATCACAGAATGTTCAATAAATCTGTTTCTTGTAAGTATAAAATTTCAATGCATTTAACTCGTTTTCATTTCATGATGTCCTTCATGTTTACTCCATGAAGTCCGACCGTATGCAGATGATGTGGCGAAGCACATTAGGCCGTCTGTGTCAGTCCTTCCATTCAGTGATGGTTAACAGAAACAACATGGTTTTAATAAAGAACAAGTGCCAGGTCTGCTCTCTGACAGAGACATTCCTAATTGACTGTAGTTGGGTTCCTGTCTGACCGCGGCCACCCTTCATTTAACACAAGAACAAACACCGGCTCCTGCTTTAAAAGACAGGCCTGTGTGTAAGTGAACCTGCTGTGGCAGGAGCAGAAATTTCACAGCTTTAAAAACAACTTTGAAACAGGCAGGGTAGAGTTCTCTCCCTCACCTCCCCGTTTACCCCCATTCTGTACTATTTGGGTTTTTCCACACACACGGGTAACTGTGTGTTGCTGCGTGTGTGTGTGTGAGTGTGTGCGCAGAGCAGCTCTGCCGCTATTCCAGCAGCCTTGGGGACGACCGAGGGTGTCCACGGCTGCAGCTGTGTTGGGATCCGGTTACCATCACATGGTGCCACTTGGCCGCTGAAGAACTGCCTCTGCAATATTAGAAACCAACGCAAACCACAGGTCCGCACTTTCTCTCACCTCTGCCTCACTCAGCCTGCTTCCACAAGATGTTGAAATGACTACATCACGGCCGAACATAA